GGGTTTGTAGGGGAAAGAGAAGAGATTTCAAAACTTATTAAGTCATGCTTTAGATGACAATCTCAGACAGAGGAAATCTTAAGAATTTATCACCAATAAGTAGATTTAATCTAAAATGACTGACTATGGAAGTTCATTGAACAAGAGCACATGGAACAAAAAGTAACTTGAAACATTGAGAGGAACATAAAGCACAACAGAAATGTTATTTATTGTGCACTTCAATGCCTAAGTCTGTGACAAATTCTGAGGAGTTATAAAAACATCAAAAAACACTGTCAACAGAAAGCACGTGAAGTATTAAGATGTGGTATCTATGCCACAGATGTTTAAAGTTGTATTGTCAAGCCAAGACTAATAAGTGAAATAGCTGATGTCAACTCCAAGCAGAGGAAATGCCTGCTACATGTGCTACTTAATCTTCTAGTTCCCACATGCAGGACCAACATTCACAGCCAATGACCACACCCTCTCTGAGGCCAAGAACAATTCAACAGTTTTCTCAGCACACAGCTGCTCTAGGAGTTTTGGCCAATCGTCCTGTGCTAGCAGGTACGATGCATCCCATTTGCCATCACTCCTACTTCAGTCTATGTCCTTGACTTAGTTCAAGAAATTCAAAAACGAAAAACAGCCAGATGTGTTAGAGTGGTTGAAAAAGATTTCAAAGACAGAGGAATTTTAGCTGGATCCTGAAGAAGGGACTGCACCTGGGTAGACTGAGTAAATAGAAAAAAGACAGGAGGAGCATGAGCACAAAGGTCTAGCACATCCTGAGAGAGGTAAAGTATGGAGAGTGGGCTGCCCAGAGAAGATGCATTCAAAGGCCATATAACCCTAACTCTTTAATTTAAAATAACTTCATTGTGTAAGCTATCAGGTCCATGATATATGGTTGTGTATGCTGTCTACCAATGAAAAAGAAAAAAACAGGAGGCAAACAGAAGCTCAACTCTGTTTTCCCTGGCCACTGAGGGCATCCTGGCATGGTGCTGCACACACAGGAGGAAGGGACACCTTTCTTATATGCATAGATGCCACAGGGCTAGCAATGGCCTTGCAAATCATAAATGCTTATTGCAGAAAAATCTAAACTAACATCTGGTTCTGATGAAGAAGAAAATAATCACCTGAAATTCCACCAGCCAAAGATACTAGCTTCAGTGTGTTCTTACTCTTTCCTCCAGACATTCTTATACATGCAGACAAATGCAATTTTCTTTTACACAAATGAAACTATCATTGATCTGTTATGTGGCTTACATTTTTTCATTACTTATATATTGTAAACAGTTTCAAGTGACAATAAATATAATTGAATATAATAGTTTAATGTTTATATATCATTCAGGTCATAGATATGCCTCATTGTTGAATATTTGGGTTATTTCTGATTCTTATTATAAATAAAACTGGTTTATTAAAAAAAGAATAACCAATCTTAGATTACAAATCATTTATGAACTTCATGTAATTTTTATTTCACTTGAAAGATTGGGGTTAAGTAACTTTTCAAAGGGAAAATAAACCACTATAGTTTATCCCTACTACATTAACATGAATAATTTAAATTTATATGTTTATAAGTGATATTTATTAATTTATATATAAATATTAGTTAAATTATAATTGTCGATGCCTTAAATAAAATTTCTACTTTATAAGAAGTTCATGATTGTAGAATTTTATCCTAACAACTTCCTAAAAACAATATCTGCCAACATGTAGAACAGTGAACAATTTCAAATACGTCATATGAAAAGATATTCTACTAATGCCTTCAGCTTCTACAGTTGACAGAAAATGCAGCACATGCACATCTTATAAATTCCTGGAACACAGAGATCAATTATCCAATGTTCCCACTATTGAAGACTTTCTATGCTGTTCTGTTCCTTCTGATGCCCTCCTATGCTGTTCTGTTCCTTCTGATGCTCTCCTATCTAACCAGTCTGATAAAACTTCATTAGGGAACAGAAGATGAAGGGATGTGAAGCAAGTCTGAATCCGGCAACACAGCATCAACAATTCAAATGTTTTACTTGCTTAGTGAATCAAACTAAAACTCTCTCCTAGAAGCAATGTTCTTTGCCATTTCCTAAAGATCTCTTTATACTTGAGGGTGCTATTTATCAAAGTGAACCTCCCTTCTCATTGTGCCTTTGAGGAAATACTGAACAGCATGTGCCTTGCACTGTACTAACACCTTTAAGTGAATTTGCTCACCTAACCTTTATAAATTATATAAAAAATGATCATTATCTCTATTTTATAGAAGAGCTATTTAATAGGCTTAGATCAAGTAGATCACACAGTACACTGCTCAGCTAATAAAGGAAGATCTGAACCCAAACCATCTGAGTCCACTGCTTGAATTGTAGTTAAGGGAAAGGTATAACTGCCCATCTTTAAAAAATAATAATAATGTCAACAATGAAAGAAAAGTGTTGTAGTATTCCTCTACTCCTGAACTGGAAGCATGAATGGGAAAGAAGCTGCAAAGGAGAGAGGATTTCAGTGAAAACAAACTCTGACCCTTATCAGCAGGCTAACGTGCACCCGGCACTGACCCTGCTCCACATTTATAACCTCATTAAATTCTCCCAGTATTCGCAAAAAAGAAAAATCTGAGGAAATGGCCAACACACATCCCGGGAAATACTAAAGTGCATAGTGAAAGTCTGCAAAATAAAACTATTTGTGCACCTAGCAATCAGACAAAGATCAACACAAAAGATGTGCTCACTGCTGGCAAAGTACAAGGATTCATATGGGAAAGAAAACAACACAAATTTTCTGGAGGGCAACTGGCAAAACACCTCAAAATTCTTTTTATTTTTCTTTTCTTTTCTTTTCTTTTTTTTTTTTTAGTTATCAAGGGACCTTAATTTATAATGTGGTGCTAAGAATCAAACCCAGTGCCTCATACATGCTAGGCAAGCACTCTACCACTGAGCTACAACCCCAGCCCTCAAAATTCTTAATGCACATGAAACCTTTGACAGTTCTGTTTCTCTAGGCCAAGTCCAATTACATCACAAAATATTAATCACTTTGTTGTATCTAATGCAAAAATAAAACAGGAAAAAGTTAAATACCTGTTACTGGCAAAATGTCACATAAAATATAATTAATATCCATACAACAGAAAATAATATATTCATTAAAAATTATAATGTAAATGTATATTTCCATGAAACTGTTCTTGTGGTATAAGTCTTTTTTTAAAGCATAATACAAAATGAATCAAACTAAATTGATTTTGTAAAGAATTTTATACAGGCATGTGTACACTGCGGTTTCATATATGTATTCAAAAAGATATAAACAAAAATGCAGACAGTATTTAGCAGTGGGATTGCAAGTGCCTTTTATATACATTCTAATTCTTTGCTTTTATGTTTTTTAAAATGTCTTGTATGAAAATACAACACTGCTGGTCCAACTGAAAAGTATTTTTTTAAGTCCTCATAGCAGCTTTAAGGAGTTATCAATTATCCTCATTGAATAATGGATCTGAAGCTCGGAGTAAGAGAGTAACTGATGAAACAGTAGAGACTGCTTGATTCCAAAGCTAATACCCTTTTTCTTGCATTAAAAATGCAGCCTAGTGTATTAGATAAGTCAGAGTCCACATTTTCCTGTTCTCTGACAGACTTTCTCACCAACTGCTTGGGCACACGCCTGTTACCTTCAGTAATCACTTTAAAGGCCCTGTCTACCTTTCTGTTCAACTTTCTGCCATCTATAAGGCTTCACATAAATAGAATCTTCCTAAATTTGATATTTGATTATACAGACAGATGGATTCAATTTCAAATAGGAGTATGTGAAATAGAATAAAGATAATGGACACAGTTATGTCCGCAATGCATGAGACAAAAACAAATGGTGAACTTTTCAATGATCTGTCCAGAGTACTCCAAGTTCTGGCATATTACCTCCTTCCCCACTCTATTTATATTAGATTTGGCTCCTCCCACTTCACACCAAAACTTGTACAACACTCTTCTCCCTAATACCAATGTCTTCAGACTCCATGTTCATGTCACTGCCTGCTAAAAACTACCAAATATAGCTAACAAGTTTCTATTACCCAAAATATTTATTTCCAACCAGCCCAATTACGCCTCAAAATTTTGCTTATGTACTTATCTACCTGAAACAGCCCTCCTCTCTACATCATCAGATTCTCATGTTTATTGTACAAAAACAAATTCCCACTTCTGCTTTGTTCATGATAATTTCTTTCTTCTCTACACTTAACAGTTACTTCTTGACATTTTAATGCTTAAATGCTGAGATTTTTGCAGATACCCCAAGTTGGCAAAGTGAGTGGCACTTTGTACTTAGCAAGTATTACTAATCACTGTCAAACATCACTGAAGACCCTGAAAACCCTGCCAGAGGATTTGGCTCAACACCTCAGGTAGAGAGGACAGCTGGCCTCATTCACTAGCTAAGTGACGTGACTCCTGAGCACCTCCTCACAGAGAATGCCTTAAGAGAGCACATGTCAGGAGAACCCTTCCAGACAACAGGCCATACAGACACCTCTGAACAGACAGGACAGACAGTCTGTGGATTCCAAGGTTGGCTGCGCTGCCCTCATCCACAACCCCAGATTCAGGCACATAGCTGTACTTCCATGAAACCATCCCATGGCAATTAGGCCTTATTACCACGTAAAACTTTGTGATACACATAAATCCTTGGTGTGCAATGTTCATCGACATTCCCTGAAGTATACATTAAGGATAGAAGTCTTCAGACCTTGAGGTATAAAGATTAAACTAAAATGAACTTATTTATATATCACTAACATTAACTACCATTCACCAAATCACAACTGGAAAATCCCTGGAAGTCATTCACCCTCTTTCGCCAGCCAAAGAGAATAATTATGATATTTGTGGGTTATATTCTTATTTAGTCTCTATACCCAATAAAGAATAAGTCTTTAATAAGGCAGTCTCATTCCAGTGTTTAACAATACTAACCGTCTAAAAATATCTTCTTTATGTTATAAGGGGAAAAAAAACGTTGTTTTTTTTTTCTTTAACGTTTACTGGTTCTTAGTTGAAATGGACTCCTGTAACAAAAGAAACATGAACAATAGAAATACATAAGTTTATTAACATATAGGTTTCACACATATGTGGAAGACACCCAAGGAATAGGTAGTTCTCAAAGAGATGATTTTGAATCCTAGTTTACAGAGTATCTTCAAAAACCAGTAAATTACAGAGAACTGACAATACAAAGGAAAAGGACTTGGGAGGCTCTAGGGGTGGCAACTTGGTAGGAGGTAAATAAATGGCAGATAAAGGCTAGCTGATGGAGTCTGTTAAGTCAATTCCTCTGGTACCATCTAAGATCCATAAGGTCCAAAGTTGTCTCTAGTGGTGAACCTGAGCTCTCCCTGGTAGGTCTTTGTAAACCCAGGTCCTGCTTTAAGGTAAGCAGTGGAAGGACAGAAAATATTCCTGCACTGGGTTCTCTGAACTGTCTTCAACTCAACCATCTCCTATTTTGGGGTGGCATATTCTGGTCTGCCATAATGCCAAACTGAAATTGATTTCTCCATTACTTTACCCACTAATTCACATGCTTGCATCTACAACAAACCTGACATTACGCTGGGGGCAATGATGAACAGGGACAAATGTTCATTCCTGCCCTAAAAGGATTCATATTCTTATCCCGCAAAGCAGAGAAGTAAACAGTCTGATTAACTATTATGAATTGTTAGAATTCAAATTTCAGGGGGTAAGTTACTTTGAGGATGGAAAGTGTGAAAGCAGTAGGCAGCAGACTCCAAGAATACTCAAAGAAAAAGATGCAAAGGCGAGCACTACCACCTGGGCCCTGGATTAGCTCCTCTGGAGACCTCTAAGACTTCAATGCTTCAGCCACCTGTTCCTTCCCCAACAAACCCCAGAGCCACTGAGAAACACTCAAGTGGTCCAGGGTGAAGGTGGACAAGCAGAACCAGTTGACGTGGAAGTAGCAATCATGCCTTTATTCACTCACTTGTTCCATTTTCCTCTCAGAACAACCTGGGCAATAGTCAAGTAGATGCAGTGTAGGGCAGGAGTGGGTGGGAAGACTCAGGTCACTCCTGCCTTTGAGGGGAAAAGATCAGGAATGGAAAAGTACTGAATCAAAGTAAAGAAAAGTGCCTCAGCCCCAGAGGAGGCGGCCTTTGAGGGGAGACATTTAGGAATGCAGACATGCATGCAAACAGGTGGGAGTGTGTGGCATTCTATGGCTGCAACTCCCTGTAAAAACTGCAAAGCACGAGCTGTGCTCTTGGTAGTTTGGTGTGAGGAGGGGCAGCTTTATCCTATGAGACGGGACAGGCAGAACCTCATGCAGAATGCTTCAATGAATGTGCAGTGTGGTTCTCTCCTTGTAAGCCCATTTTAAGTTTGAAACATCATTAGACAAAAACGCTCTTAAGCTGGACACGATGGCGCATGCCTATAATCCCAGCAGCTCTGGGAGGCCTAAGACAGGAGAATTGTGAGTTCAAAGCCAGCCTCAGCAAAAGTGAAGCACTAAGCAACTCATTAAGACACTGTCTCTAAATAAAATACAGGACTGGGGATGTGGCTCAGTGGTCGAGTGACTCAGAGTTCAATCCTCAGTACCCCCCCCCAAAAAAAAATGCTTTTAATACAGGTAACGTACAGTACCATGCAGCTCACTGGGCGCTGCCCGCTCACTGCTACAGCCCAGGTGCGAGAGGGTCTCCTACAGCAGACTGCTGACCTGGGAAACAGTCTACTCAAAGTTCAGCGTATGGTTCCTACATATGTGAGGTGCTTTTGACCATCCCAAGAGTCAAGAAATCACAAGGCGAAGAAGTATGAGTCAGAACTGTGTGCAACTGCCTCTGGCTTGGGTCTGCATGGTCACAAAAGTTTGGCTGGAAACCAGATTCCTCGGCTACCATTCCCTTACCTGCACTTGCCTTCAAACTTTGGAAAGAGAGAATTACATGCACACTATGTTTCTACATTCTAACCTCCCACCACATCCCAAAATTACTCTTGCTCTAGTGATCCATGGCTTTTCCAAGTTAACAAACACAAACAACTGTTTTTATTATCCAATTATTGACACACTTCTTGAAGGGTTGGATACTATACAATACTCCCTCTTTCACACCATCTTTTCATTTGTCTGTCATGATATTATTTCATTCATATTTTCTACATTTTCATTCTTTTTTTGGCAGCACTGAAGACCTAACACAAGGCCTTGAGCTTGCGGCACAAGTGCCCAATCACTGAACCTGTGGCCAATCCTCCTTGCTGGGGTCACCACCTGTATGTCATGGGAGCCGTATAGGTACTCCACAGTGGAGACTATTCTCCTGAATTAAAGAGCAATGCACTGTTACTATCATGCTATAATGACACTACAGCTATGCTCAAAGAACACAATGTGTGACATTTCCAGATGAAGCACCCAGCAGTCATAAAATTAGAACACTCAAAGTGGAACATCTCATTCCAGAAGAATTTCTTTTCAAAAATAAAAATGTGTTCCTCAATAGTATGTTAGTCACAAAATTAAAACTGTTTACCAATGAGGTAACCAAATCATGATTGACTGCAATAACCAAAGGAATGTGTCCAAGGAAAACAAATGAGTTTAAAACTATTAGTCTTTCAGCAAAACAGTTGCTCAAAAAGTTAAGAACGTGACTTAAAAAATAGCCTCTATGATCATTTAGATTTGGAATGTCCCCCAAAGGCTCTTGTGTTGAAAGCTTGGTCCTTGATGCAGTCATGTTCATAGGTGGAGCTTCAGGACTGGACCATGAGGGCTCTGAACTCGTCAATGAATTAATCCACTGAGGGATCCGCAGCTGAATGGATGACTGGGAGATGGACTTCATATAGAGGAAGTGGGTCTTGGAAGGTATGCCCCTGGGGACCATATATTGTCCCCATTTTATCTATCTGTCTTTCATCTTACTGGCTGCCACGAGGTGAGCAGTTTCCTCCAACACAGGGTCCCCATCAAGAAGCTGTGCCTCATCTCAGGGACAGAGCAATGGAGCTGGCTACCATGGACAGAGACATCTGAAGCCATGAGCCAAAGTTTTTCTCAGGTATTCTACCAGTAATGAACAGCTGATTAACATAGATCGTTTACAGAGAACATAAGAATTTTTCAAGGAAACTGAGAAAACAGTAATTTGGTACAAATTATGTGGAATCTGCTAAGATTTGTTTCATTTCATGTTGGTTTAAAAAAAAAGCAAAAGGAAGCTTACTTGAATAAATTTACAAAGCATGCAAAAATATAAGCCTACTGAAAATTTAAAGGCTACAGTTACTCATTCCATTATTTATCAGCAAACACTCTGCAAAATACTTAACCATATCATGTGGTTCGAACCAACAGTGCAAACGGTAAGACTTCATTTGTCCATAAGGACTTGTATATTGTTCATTTTACAAAGTTTTGACAGAAATAGAAGCTTAATTATAATACACTGATTTTCCTGAAACATAGCAGTGATATATTAACAATGATAAAGCTTTGTTGTGGTTTTTTACACTTAGGATCAAGACAAAATTTTCTTTCAATCACTTTTATCAAACCCTAAATGGCTTTGGAAATTAACTTATGTTATAGACTTAATAATGTTTCTTCATAAATTCAACTTTAAATGACAAGGCAAAATGGTGCTTATATGCAAAACTTACACCAATGTCACAAAGTAATATCGAGCTGTACTAAACAGTTCCCATGCTGTCAAAAGAGAAAGCAAGAAACTCTCAACTGCCACATGCACTTCTAGGAGTTTCTTTTCTGAGTTCAAGCCACAGTTCCTGCAATTTTTTTTCTGACTATGATGCAAGTGTAAAGGAAATCTCCATGTTCCACAATCTATTTAACTATAATTAATGAGAATTCACTTCAACTGAAAATGATCAAGTATATGTGCAATATAATAAAACAAGAGACAGATATCAAGAAAATAACATAATGGAATTTTATAAAAATTTCCTAAACACATTCAATTGAAATCAGAAGCTCATGTACTACAATCATATTTGCCAATACATACCTTTGTGAAAAAATAATTTCATATAAAATATTTAAAATCTCACTAAATATCATCATTAACAGATAATATTTATAAACAATTCTGATTATCAGTGAACACTTAGAACCCCAAATAAGTAAAATTCTCTCCAAACACAATTCTGTTTTCTCATACACTTTTATTACAAAATATTGTGCTCCCTAATTACTATTATGTTTTGAATTTTGGCAATAAAAACTGGGGATATTTATTGTTTCTTAGTATAAATATGTAAATATACACAAACAACTACAAAATATTAATTCTGTCTCTTAGCCCATGTAGCCTAAAATATCTGTTACCTGGCTCTGCACTGAATAAGTTTGCTGCTAGGTAGCCACAATCACTTAAATTCCAATCCTGTTCAAGTTACACATTCATCTGAGGTTAATCTGGCTTTGTGATGCACAGGGCTGGGTGGCAAGAGGCAATTAGAGATTGTTGTTTTCTTCTTGATCTACTGACATATCAAAGTCCAAACTGCAAATAATAGATACAAATTTAAAAAAGGAAAATGCAACAAAAATACAAAGAAGAGATATATTTAAAGTTCAGAATTTAAGGCTGAGTGTGTTGGCGCACACCTGTAATCTCAGCTACTCAAGAGACCAAGGCAAGAGGACTGTAAATCCAAGCCCAGCCTAGGTAACTCAGCAAGACCCCATCCCAAACATACAACTTTATAAAATAAAGGGCTGGGATGTAGCTCGGAGATAGAGTGCCTGCCGACCACATGCAAAGCCTTGGGTTTCATCCCCAACACCAGAAATAGAAAAAGAAAAAGGTTGAGCATTTTATCACCTTTTCCCATCAGCTTTTATTCTACTTTATATATTGAAAAGGTAAGAATTTTATTAATTTTAGATAATAAAAATATTAGCTGAAAATTTAAAGAAAATGATAACCAAAAAAGAAAATAAACTCTAAGAACCAATGTTAAAAGACACAGTTTTCCACAAATAAATTCAACTCTACCCAATTAAGAGTCTGAGAAAGGAGAAAGATGAAAATTAATTTTTCCATCTAGGTAATAACCTTGGAATAATCAGAAAGAAACAGTCAAGTATAAAAGAGAAAAATGGCTTTTTCTGAACTAAACAAAATTTAGCATGACACTGAATAATCAGTTTTATATGCAATAAATTTTTAGAAAACAGGCATATAAGAAATCATAAGTTAATTATTAGCTCTTTAGCACAATCATGTCTATTAAAGAGGAAAATAAAATTTGTACAATATATAAACAATATTTAAATTGCTTATGTATTGTACAAATTTAAAATAAGTAACACTGAGAAAGCATTCTGAATGTTTCAAATTTTAAAGGGTCACTACCATATTTATGTCAAGAGTTTAAACATTTAAATCTGTACAAAGTCAGTGCAAAAACAGCATTACAAAATGACAACACCTTTCATGAGTGATATGAAAACAAGGTGACCATACACGTATCCTCATTTGCTGAGGACAATCTTGATTTATTTCCAATATACTGACAGAATTATTAAAAGCATCTCATTGCTCAGAGTGTCAAAGTAAAAAAAAATACTTTAAACAGTCACCATTTATAAGCATATCATAAAATTTAATACACCAAGCAACAATGCCCCAACCTGACTACTATGTAAAAGAGGGAGATTGGGAGAAAAAAAAAAGAGAGAAAAATCAAGATAGAAAGAACCCTGACTAGGGCTAGGGCTAGGCTGAGGATGTTGCTCAGTGGTTAAACACCTGGAGGAAGGAAGGGGGAAAGGGGGAGGGGGAAGAGGGAGGGAGGGAGGAGGAGGAGGAAAAGGAGGAAGAAGAAAAGAAAGAGAAGGAGGAGAAGGAGGAGGAGGAGAATAAGGAGGAGGAGGAGGAGGAGAAAAAGAAGGAGGAGGAGGAGAAGGAGGAGGAGGAGGAGGAGAAGAAGGAGGAGAAGAAGGAGGAGGAGGAGGAGGAGGAGGAGGAAGAGTAAGACAGAGAAAAAGAAAGAACTGTGGGATAAGGCATAGTGAAAGAATGAAAATCAACAAATGTCCCTGTTTTCTTGGCAACTAATTTCAAATACTTTCTTCTCCAAAAAGTTGTCTTTTTAACTAAAAGACAACAGATGTTGTCAACCATTTGGTTTGGTGCTGCTTATCAACCTGATCCATCACACCTTTTTTCCTAAAGGTTGCAAGAGATACATCAATATTTCATACATTCCAGAGGATGACAAGATGGCTAAGCAGAGGTACACAGGGCTCACTTCCTCATCCACAAGGGTACCCGTATTCTGAAGTGGTGACCAGCAAGAACACTGGAACTCAACAAGTGAGATGAAAGCATGGTAAGACTTGCAGAGGTGAACAGCAGCTCAAAGAGGAGCAAAGTATGCAAGCAACTGTGACCAGAGATCCCCAGCTGAAGTGGTGTCCCCATGCAGGCGAAAAGGTGAACTGGTGAGTCCTGGCAAACTCCCACAGTGTGGTTGAAGGCAATTCTACCTACCAGGAAGTTTCACTCACCACATCCTTGCAGTCCAGTTGCTTTGGAGAAGGAACTCATTATTTACAGGGTGATCCCTACAGGTAGGCTGCTTTATAGCAAGGCACCATTTTGAGAAGGAGGAAATGTCCAAATTCTTACTGCTCCAGGGTCAGAAACCCTGCACATACCCATCACTGTGATCCAAAGATATTCCTCCATAATAGTACAGGGGGCTTGAGACAGTAATACAACAGTAACCCAGCATGCATGCCATCCCAGTGCCCTTCATTACAGGGGATGTTTCAGCACAGAAGGGAAAAAAAAAAAAAAAAAAAACATGTTGCTCTAAGGAACTCAGAGGTCAGGGCACTTCTCTTCTGGGACCTAAGGCATGGCCAGCCATATTTGGACTCACGACCACCAGGCACCAGTCAGAAGCTCACAAACAAAAAGTGAGACAATGAAAAAAAGATATTCCATAAGAAACCCAAGGGAGCAAGAAGAAGTTTTCTCATATCAAACAAAATAGGCTTAAACTGTAAATGAGACAAAGGAGGTCACTCACTATATAGTGAAGAGATAATTCAACGTGAATGTATTTCAATTGCAAATGTGGGTGTCCCTCAAGTGGAGGAACCCAAGTCTATAAACCAAACACCGTTAGCTCTAAGGAGGAGGTAGAGCCCAACATGACTGCAGTGGAAAACATTCACACCGCACATTCATCACAGGATAGATCATCCAGACAAAGTCAGCAGAGAACAGCAGTTTACTACACTATGGATCATCTGGACTAAGAGGTATTGACAGGGTGTTCCGACCAACAGCTGCAGAACAGACATTCCTCTCATCAGCCATGAGACCTTCAAAATAATCGGAGTCAGGTCAAGTACCTTCTCTGACTACAGTGGAATAAAACTGATGAACAAGACAGACCTTGGACACTATATGAATCTGTTGAAACATAACAACACATTACTGAATGAAAAACAAATTACTGAAGAAATCAAAAGGAAAATTTAAATATTTCTTCACAAAAATTAAAATGGAAACATAACACACTAAAACTTACAGAACATGGAAAAAGGAGAAGAGGGAAGTTCACAGTAATGAAATCCTACACAAAAATAAACAAAAATTTAAAATTAACAATCTGGCATCCCATGGACCAAGGAGAACAAGAACAAAACAAACCCAAAATTAGTAGAAGGAAAGAAGTAACACAGATCAGAGCAGGCCAGCGCGGTGGCACACACCTGTAATCCCAGCTGCTCAGAAGGCTGATACAGGAGGATTGTGAGTTCAAAGCCAGCCTCAGCAATGCCAAGGCACTAAGCAACTCAGTGAGACCCTGTCTCTAAATAAAATACAAAATAGAGCTGGGGTTGTGGCTCAGAGGTTGAGTGCCTGAGTTCAAGTGCCAGCACACACACACACACACACACACACACACAAAAAAAAATCATAGCAGAAATACACTAGAAACTCAAAATACAGTACAAAAGATCAATGAAACAGAGTTAAAATACAATACAAAAAAAATCAATGAAACAAAGAATTGGGTTTTTTGAAGGGATAAAGTCAACAAACCTTGAACAAGATTGAGAGGAAATAAAGAGAAACCCAAATAAATAAAACTAGAGGTAAAAAAACAAGACATTACAACTGATACTGCACAAATTGAAAAAACTAAAAGAAATGGATAAATTTCTGTACACATGTAAACTACTGAAATTAAAGACCCAACACCTCAAGACAGCAATGATGAGTACCAACACACGGTGTCAGTAGTATCTTTGCCTCCCTACAAAGACAGTGTCAGGCCTGCAAAGAGAGGGGAAACTTCCAAACTGATGCCAAAACCCGACAAGGACACAGAAAACAAAACTGTACACCAACATCTCTAACGAACTGAAACACACAAGTTTCAAAACATTATTAGCAAATCAAATCCAACAGAACATCCAAAAGATCATTCTTCATGATCAAGTTGGATTTATCCCAGGTATGCAAGGATGGTTCAACATAAGCACATCATAATGTAAAACATCATACCAACAGAATAAAGAATAAAAATCACATCATCATCTCAAGAGATATAGAAAGAGCATCTGATAAAATTCAACATCACTTCATGACAGAAACTCTGAACAGACTAAACTCAGACGGGCAAATCCACAGCCTTTCCCCAAAATGGGGAAAGGTTAAAGGCACTTCCTTTGACACCTGGAAAAAGGCAAGGACATCCTCTCACTGTGCTTATTCAACAGAGTACTGGGGTCTTGGTCAAAGCTATTAGGAAAGAGAAGGAAACAAAAGGCACACAGGAAAGCAGAAAGTCAAACTACCAAGAATCAGAAGAAACTCTGAAACCCCAAATCAAACAACACAAATAACCTATAAAAAAGAGGCATCAGACCTAAATAACCATTTCTCAAAAGACATACAAATGGCCAACAGATACATAAAAAAAGTGCCCAACCTCACTAATCATGAAGGAAATGCATATCAAAATCACCATGAGATATCACTGCACCCCAGTAATATAAATACTTTCAAAACAATTAAAGATAACAAATATTAGAGAGGATCTGGATTTAAAAGGAACTCTTGCACATGAATGATGGATGCAAATTATGGACACAGAATGGAGGTGCCTCTGAACACTGAATAAAGAACTACAATATGATCCAGCAGTCCAATTTTTTTTTTAAGGAGACCTCTGCATTCATGTCTCAACTCTCCACAAGAATCAGGAGTGGAAACAACCTAAAAGTCACCAAGCGGTAAATGGATAAAGGAAATATGGTACAAATGGAATACCATCCATCTATAAAAGAGAATGAAATCCTGACTTTTGCAACAAGTTGAATGGAAATGGAGATCACTACGTTAAGTGAAATAAACCAGGCACAGAAAGACAAGTACTGCATGATCTCACTCACATGTGGAATCTAGAAAAAGCTGGTCTCCTGGAACTTGAGAACAGAATGGTCATCACCAGAGGCTGGAGAGAAGGCAGGGAGAAAGGCTGTCCCAGACACTGATCAACAGGATTAAGAAGTTCTGGAACTATTACACAATAGAGTGACTATAGATAATTTAAAGTACCATACATCTAAAAAAAAATGGATAAAAAGTATTTTGAATTTTTTTCATCATATATAAATAATAAACACTTGAAAACATACATATTTAACCTGATTTACTCAATATACATTGAATGTACATGTACTGAAATATCACATGGGGCCTGGGGTTATAACTCAGTTGCAAAGCGCTTGCCTAGCACATGAGGCACTGGGTTTGATCCATAGCACTGCATTAAAAAAATAAATAAAATAAAAGCATGCTATCCATTTATAATTAAAATTTGTTTTTAAGAAATATCACATAGGGCTGAAGTTGTAGCTCACTGGTAGAGCACGCACCTAGCACATGTGGGGCACTGGTTCAATCCTCAGTACCACATAAAAATAAAATAAAGGTATTGTGTCCAACTACAACTAAAACAAAATATATATATATAAAAAAGAAATATCACATTGTATCTCATTAATATGTAAAATCTGTTTTAATTTGTTAAACATAAATATAATTTAAAAATATAGAATGCATGTTATGAATTCTAGTTACCAATATATAAAAT